CTGGTAGGTAACTGGATGATAACTTACGATTTTTGAAACCGGTGACCCCATCCGCTTGTTGATTGCGCTCACCTGATACACGTTCATAATAAAGACGTCCCCGGAACTTAATATTTTCGCACCTGAAAAAGGGCATTGAGAGAGGATGCCAACAAATTCCCATTAAAAGTTCAACAGTTAACTTTCGATGATTTCAAATCTATCCCAACTACTGACCATCCTACTTTCAGTCAAGTAGATAAGGCGTACTTTTGCCTTTCAAATACACAGGAACACTTTAGACAAGGCAGTGTCAGCAAAGTAGGTGATAGAAAACTGGTTGGTATTTGTACCAATTTGTTCTTTTGGAGCTCCCCATGAAGAAAAAAATGCGTAAATAGGAATTCACTTCCTCCTCCGCAAGATTAATGACGTGTGGACCCAAGAGGCAGCGTAAGGCGCAAAGTCGCTGTCTTACCTCTTTGACAGATGTACTTACAAAATTGGTTCCAAAAATGTTCAACCATGATGAAGGCATGGGAGAGACTTAGGGAGACTGATGAAGGAAGACTGAAAGCTACATCACTAAGGCAATACACTCCAGGCTGATAGACATCAACGAGAGCTACGCAGTGCGCTATTTAAGGTACTGACGGAATATGTATGAGACCAATGGAATGCGTCCTGGTGATTTTCAAAGAGAAACAATTTAAGTGGAAAATTTAGAAATGAAATCTTGTAAAACTACTTGTACAACAAGGAAATCGGGTGCTTAGCTGTTGACCACTCTGGAAGAAAAAAATAAGATCCCATAAAATCGCTAAGGACAGAAGAGAATAAAGTGCAGGCAGAAAAGGGTACGGCATGAACGTGCGAAAACTCAGTCATAAGGGGAAACATTTGCTGCAGCGTTTATGCAATTTTCCAAACCACGTCCTTACTTTCCGACCCCCAAAAGCCAAGCCCAATGTCAGGGGGTTCCAATGACAACTAAAGTCTGGATAGTGGGAACATCTTTTCTCACTCAAAATATAAAGTTCACAGAACTGATGATCTAAAAAATTGAGAGAGAGCGGCAACAATTTTATCCATTTGTCGTTATTAGAAGAAGGAATGAGTTGGAAGAATAACAAGCGAGACAGCGGGAAAACGATGATTGATGGCACAGAGGCTGGTGGAAGGCCAAAAATCCCAAGCGAGGTGGTCAACAATGTTTGGACGATGAGAAGAGCTAAGCGGGTGTAATAGGAAATGCATGTCATGAAGAGAGAAGAGTAGCGAGAATGACTTTCACCTCCAATGAGCAGACTCACGTACACAAAGCTGCCTGTGGTATTTCAGAGGGAATCGTTAAAATTCATTATCTCCCCGCCTTAACCATCATCACCATTACCACTCAACTGCCCTCTTGCTTCTGCCCACACAACAAGGCAACAGTGGATCTCCGTCTCTTTCTTACCCACTGACTTTCGACAACTTGTTTTTAAGATGCATAAGAATGTAGAGGCGCAGTAAATACCGAAGTTGTCAATGAGGCAGTAGCAAGCGTAGTGATTGGAAGGGAATATCAAGATTCTCATGGTACACGCTCTATATTAATGGAATTGTTGTAGGATATCAAAGAGAATTGTAATGCGCTACTTAGCTATTTAGTTCTGGTTTTTTAGTGAAAGGTTACTTCGCGGCTCCACTATTGTACCTTTACCACGTGGCCTGGCCTTTGTGCAACGCCAGCAGCCCTAAGCCATGCTGTACGTAGGGAATACACTTTCTGCCCAAGTATTATGTGTTCCTCCGTCTTCAAGGAAGTCACGACGGAAAGCAAACCTAAGCCTAAAAAACGACTACCCCGATAAATGAATGATAAATTGTAACGTGATGGAAGACGGGCATATGCTGCGAATGGAAGAATATGAAACGACTGAAGAAACACCAACCGCAAAACCATCTGAAAAAGTTCCTCACTGAGCTAGCCACAGTACCTGTATGAGGATGTCAATGAAGTGAACACGCGATCCCCCTCCACCTCTCCACTAGTTGGACAGAACTCAGATAGACATGGCTGGGCAGCGATGAAGTGAGAACAAAGTGGCAACGAGGAACAGTCGCAAAACATCATCCCCACGACACTATTTTAAATCCTATTCTGCATTAAATTACTGATTTTAGGCCAGCATTCCTACAATTAGCGATGAAAATGCCTGATGGGCAGCACATTTCGCCTTCTCAAAATACAATACAATACAATTCCCTGGATCCAGTAGAATTGCCAGGAGGGATGATTGATGTTGACATCAACCATCTTCTCAGATGACTGGTGAAGGTGGTTTGTGCGTTTCCCTTACAGCAAAGTTGACCAAGGGGGGCGCCAAGGATAACGCTCAAGAGAAGAGGCTATGTAAAGGGGCCACTTTGGTCTTTACCATCGTACCCTCATCGGGTGGGCTGGCCTCCGCGCCATGTCAGTAGCCCTTAAGCCCTTCTATACGTCGACAAAACATGTTTTTCCCCAGTATTATGTCTTCTTTCGACTTCAAGGAAGCCTCGTAACGCTGCAAAGATCTCCGTGTATTCCTAGCTACGTGTACTTAATATGCAGTAGAGTAAGGTTTGCTCAGACTTGATGTTGTTATAATTAAAAAAGGCAAAACCTGGGCAATCTGTTCCCCGTTGCCTTCATCTGAAAAGCTACAGATGACAATGGAACTCGAGTAGGGCGTCATTAACCAAAACCAGAAGGCATACTTCAGTTATACTACAGAAAAGAATACAGAAATTGTTGTTTTGCAACAACTATTCCACTAGGAATCACCATGCTTCGACTAAAGGAGGGAAGACGGCGGCAAACACGGAACAAAGTGCACAACACTTGCACTTGCATACCTCAAAAGTCCGGGGCACTAGTTCCACTTAACAAGTATGAATAATCAAATCCAGTTTCCGGTACCTTTTTTTCGGCACAAGTTGGCAAAATTAAAGCATCAGTCGCGAAACCTCGACCTGTGAAAAGTTCTTCACTCATAACGGATGTAGAAGATGAATTTTGCCGCTATGACCAGTGGCAAAATTTGGTCACACTCCTTCAAAAATGAGTTTGGTGCAGAAAAAAGGGCACATACGACACGACGCAGCTCTCCCCAGCACAGCAAAACAATCTATTCCATCAGCACAAAACATGGAGGTTTCTCCCCTATCATGAGAAGACAGAGCCGTGAGAAAAAATGACATTTTGCAAGTTCACCACTACCTTCATCCTATGCACAAACGAATTGACAATCATCAACAAAAAGGGTGTCACTTTTGCTTGGCGCGTTCGCCTGCCGTGTCATATGCGCGACCCCAACCTCCTTACCTGAGCCTAGTGTCAAACAAGTGAAACGTACGCTTTGTTAATTCACCATTGCCTGTTACATTAAATTGTGTCTCAAACAGACAGGTTAGGTTTACAACTTAAAAATAGGTGTTTTTTTCCAGAGGCTAATCACATCATTTGGATTTTCAACAGTGCTTAAATTTGTTTGAAAGGTCATTGATAAACAGTGCCATGGTAGAGCATCTGAGCCGTTGTGACAACTTTTCCCGCTGGGATCAAGAATAACTCAAGAAGCAGGCTGCTCTGGGATCGAGTTTCCAAATAACGACAAACCGACTAGAATATAAGCACAATAATAATAACGAGCTTACCATCTTTAGCCAGCTGCCGAGCCAGACAATTCGTTATTCCATGAACATCCTAAAAGGGGAAGAATTCGGTCCTCATTAAAATTACCAACAAATAACGTGTTAGCCATTGTTTCCCACTCCCTTTTTCAATTATGCTGAGGAGCACTTGCCCCATTTTGGAATGAATGTGCCTCACTGATCTCGGGTCGGGAGAGAGGGAGAGCACAAACGACACGCGTTCATTCACACACCAAAAAACTGCCTTCTCTTATTTTGGTGCTTATCCCGAGCCTGTGAAATTGAGTTACAAGTATGGGTGTGTATACGTGTGCAATTTAGATGGGAATTAGTGTGCTGCGAGGGAAAAGGGTAAGGAGAAAATTTTATTCCTTTGCATTACGCAAACACCTCCTCAGAATTAGTCATTTAATCTGAAAAGATATCCTCAAGGAGGGAGGGGAGAGGGTTTATTAGTAGGTCACAGCGACTGAATAAAACGATTTGAAAGAGCGCCGAGGGCGATAATCTCGACTGAGAGGGTGAATGCTAGACACAATAGTCCAGATTTATGCCTTCGTGGGCCACGATTGCGCAGTTATCTCGGAAAAAAAGTGTGCACTTGTAGACATATTTTGAGCGCTTTTCTAATACGTGCATGATCGGGAAAATAGTTTGCCACAGGTAATGCTCATCGGCAGGTGCTTCCGGCTAATGATATACTAGCACGTCTCCACGACAATGCCTTGCCAACAGCATCAAATGCATATGACACCGTGATTATCCAACATAAACCCGAGAGTCACATGAGTCAATGGTTCCTAATCAGTCCAAGATAACTGATTGCACACTTAACCGTGTCCAAACAGACTAATTGGGTTTTAAAATGTTATTTTTGGTCTAGAGATAATTCCACTTGTTTAGTTTTTAAGCAACATTCGAATGGACCAGTTCAAACTAGAATAATAAAATATTTGAACTGAGGTAACCGATTTTCTTTCGATATCGCTTACGCATTGTTGAGCACGACCATATTATACCAGTTACTTCAACAAGATGAAAAGAAGTGTGGAAATTATACGAAATGGGGCATAACCTACATATCTCTCCCAATCGATAAAATTGGCAAGAGGTGGTGGAGGAAGGGTGTAGTAGGAGAGAAGCCTGTTGAGATACTCCTCCAATTCGAGACTTCGCTGCTGTACAAACGCTGGAGAGAGGTTGTTGAAGAACTTTTTGCCTGGCAGCGTAGCTATCTGATCTTGCGATAGGTTGTACTTTGACTGCAACTACAAAGTAAATGACAGAAAAACTTAAAAAGCGTTTCTTCCTCACAGCAAGTGGTATGTATGTTGAACTAATGCCACCAGATAGTCATACGGTAACGAGTTTCAAAGCTCATCTCCACGAATGTTCTCGACGGTGATTACTTGGATTCACCTAACGCGAACTAGCTGCACTCATCGTGTTCAACACCTACATGAAAGTGAGAAAAGCCGCTCCATTTCCACTGATAATTAATGAGACGTGCTGTGACCTCCTCACCTTCCCCCCAGAATTCTTTGATACGCTTTATAATAGTCACAAGAAGCGGTGGTTTTGATTGGCGGTGGTCAGGGCGTGACCGAGTGTAAGGCATTCTGTTTACACCCCGTCCAGAGGGCGGGGGGTAGTCAACTACATAAACAACAGTAAAGACGCCAAGCTGGAATACATCCTAGGGGATGAGTTCACACAAGGAGGGTGCGCCAATCGACTGAGTAGTTGAGTGCTTGCATACAGAGCAGTGAATCGGTCGGTCGCAAAAGAAATTATTAGTACATGAGCGGACGGCGCCTTATCCAGCATATTGTACAAGGAAACACAGAAAGCTATCATCCGTGACCTGCTGCATCAACATCAGCGTGTCACCTCGGGTTTTTATGTGCAACGTAACTTAAATGCATGATTTGAATCGGCATAATAAATGAGCCAAGACCAAGCAACAAGATAATAGGGAATAGCTTGATAGCCTAAAGCTGACATCTTTAATTGCAGTTTCGTGAGTCTCAACTAGTCGAATATGGAAGACGGAGGCTGTCAAGAATTAAATGAGACCTTGCAGTTAGCCGAACGAGAATAGATTGACCCATTCTGTTAATTGACAGTTCACAAATAATGCTACCGAATCTGGTAACCCTATATTACTGTATTTACCAGATATTACACAGATAAAATTCTAACTTTCTAGGCAATGGACCGTTCCCTCCACGTCAAAGAATGTCAGGTTCAGGATAAGGAATTACATGAAACTCCTTTCGTTAAATCAATGCCTGCTTGCAGCCTTCTATCACTTCTAGCTGCATAAGTAAGCAGTCACAAAGAGAGGCAAACAGCAAGGCCAAGAGTTAAGACATGCTGGATTAATTCGAGTATTTATTATTCTAGGAAACAAGAGCTTTAATTTGAAAACAAAACCTTGCCGTCACGCCTTAAGGAAGATGGGTTCATAGGACTAAAAAAAGACAAACTTACAGCTTTTTGAAGGATTCTGAACTCCCGATACCTTCTTGTAACACACCACGTGTGACCTTTTGGATGCTTCAGCTGAATGTCATACTCCTAGGGACAGAAAAAAAGAAGAAGACGCGCTCCGGTTATGAATTTCTATGATATTAGGAATTTAAAACATGTAAAAGCATATTCTCTCGATGATTAGGCTACTTGAGCCTTCGATAAGAATACGGAGACTGGTACCAATATGGCTAGTGAAACAAAGTTATTTTTCAAAAGGATGAGTTAGATGGTAAACAAGGTTTCAAAAAAAACCCAGGATTGAAAGGTGGCCATCCAAAGCGAACATAAACTAAATCAGTTAGCCAGAGGGTACACGAAATTACATGATAGCGCACCGAGAGTATGCAACAGGATAACGTAATCAGCTTATCACAAAATGCCAACTAGCTGAGCTTATGGTGTATCAAGATTCGCGCTGAAAGGTGGATTGATCCAAGCAAAACTCGACAAGTGAGATTATTACGACACGCTGTTGTACATTGAAAAGGGCCGACAACCGTTCAGGGGGGGTAGATTGCAATTTTCAGTTTGTCACTTTGACGTCTCAATAGTTCCCACTCCCAAACTGCGCATACCATGATTAAAACAATGGATTTTAACGAAAGCCATTCTTTTAAATATCTCAAGATGAAGTAGGAGGGACCGGAGTTAATCCCTTTACCTCTTTCTAAATTATTAATGAATTGCCTTTTAGTAAGAGTGAAAAGAAGGCACCTATTCACATTGGAAAAGGTATCACTTGTAAAACGCCTTTCGCTAAAGGCCTACAGGTTAGAACCCGCCAACAGATGAGATTAGACAAATGTCTCAATTCACAGGATTGAATTGCAGGTAGATAATAGGGCTTGAGTCTTTAAAAACACATTCGGGTACACCGTCGATCTAAGGATAGTACTTGTACAATAAGAATAAAAGAAAACGGAAAAGGTTGCTGAATGGACATTTGAAATAACCTTGGTTAACCTACCACATGGTCGCTTAACATGCATCGCTGGATAGCAGCTGAAAGACATCCATGGCCCAGCTTCACAGTTCCGTCTTCGTTGAAGATAGCATCAGCTGGAATCGAGTCGCTTTGAAGGCAATCAACCATAAAATACTCTGCGGTGTAAGAAAAGCTATTTATGACTAAGCGGATTTATGCCAAAAAACTCAGATGTCAGTTCAAAACATACGTGAGAAAGTCCATAAGCGATGATCTCTAATAAAACTTCTAGTGAGCACACATTCACACAAACAAAATCACACAACTGCGGCTGTTATTCGAAATAAGTCATGATCTGACTAATAATGAGGCGCTTTAGAGCCACAACCACAAAAAAAACACTCCAAATCCAAAATAGCAGAGAGCAAACACTGATAAAAATGCATTTCTGCTTGTCTCACAAGGCAATATGCCGAGCACAGTGGGAAACTTTGCTCTCCACCTGATTTTCTTTTAGGTTACCCAGGAAAAGGAAATGGTAGGGCGAAAATAGGGTGCTCGAAGCAGGGGAAGGGGTTGAAAACAGAGGTGAGAAATGAAATTTTCATTACATTAAAAAAGAAACTAGAAAATAAAATGCGGAAGAGGATGTCCGAGGACGCGGGGCGGTAAAAGAGAAAAGTGAAAGGGCAGACCGCATTCAGACGAACGTGTCGAAGACGGGAAGGGTGGGAGAGGTAATTCATACGGTTATTTACACAGAGGTGCGTGCATTACGGGGGGATATCAAACTGAGATCTCAAAAGTACCATCAGGGGCCTCCTCTGAGGAAATAATAGCGGGGTTACCTCTTGGGGCCTGTTGAGCGAAGTGATACTCACGTAGAGTTTGTGGCTGCTGCGAAACGAAGTAGCCCTCACTGGTCACAGGCATACTGTAGGCCGGCTGTCGAGGCGCGTAGTGCTGTAGACGCTTGTCTCTCGAGGGGGTGCGGGAATTCATCGATTGCGTGGGATTCGGTACTTGTTTGACGGGATACTTTGGCAAAACACTGCCACCAGCATAGGCGGAGGTGGGGATCTGCTGTGGCTGCTGTTGTTGCTGCTGCTGTCTGCGACGAGAGGATGGAGCTTCAATTCTCGGCGATTCGTCAAAGGCCTTAAGACGGGAAGATGAGGAGGGAGGAACGTTGGCAGTTTTTGGCACCACTAAGGGTGGCTGGTAAAGCTTAGGGATGGAAGAGTGATTGGGCATGTGAGGAGGCACAAGGGGAGCGTTGGCTTGCATCGAGTACACGACCGAAGTATTATAGTCCATTTGGCTTCTGGACGTTTGGTGGCCCGCCCGGGTTGGATGATCCTCTGCCAGATGTTTGCAAGAGAATATTCGCCCAGTAGACTCGCCAGGGTTAACTTCAGTGGGTTCCTCGGGGGTACGATAGGAAAATCCACCTGGTAATTTATCAGGATAGGGCACACCGCCTCCTTGATAATTCACATTGGGATATTGAGAGTCCTCTTGTTTGTCAGTCAACGAAAAACTTGGGACCTGCGGCAAGGAGTTTTCTTCATTGTTCAGTCGTAACAGGAGAGCCTTTGGCGACGCATTAGTATCGCCATCTAAACGATTAGCCAGTTCAGACATCAATACTGGTGGTTGCGAATCAGAAGTGTTTGTCCGCATAACGCCTGAATATGCGTTTGCCTTCTGTAAACATAAGCATCAAATGTAAAGACAAGTGAAACATACCCCATTCACGCCTTTCGTTCGAGAATTCTTTAGCGACCGTCGCATTTTTTGGCGATACTTCGCTTGCAGGCTAAGTTGCATAGCAGCACCGGTGACGGGTTTTCGTATTAGACTAGAAGTAACAGACAATAAATGATGCTTACATAGCTCCAAGTGGTCTGCAAAACATTAATGTGCAATTGCTACATGGCCCACGATCGAATGGACTGTGGTTGTCGCCATACTTCGAAGTGACCTGCAAAAGAAGTTGCATAATTATTTTAAAAATAATATTAGCAGTGATAGTTGGCAAGTAGACTTACCTGCTCATTTGTTGTGAGACCATTAAAGACCAGATATATGTGAAATCCGGTAAGTCCGACAACTGGGATGAAGATGAGGCCCACAAGAATGAGAATGACATTCCTGCAAGGATTATTCTTAATGACAAGCATACGCTATGATGCCTTCCGTAGTCATTAGGTTTTGTTGCCGTTCCAGTACAAATAGCAAAGATACAGTAAATGTCATTATCATATGGAAAGTGAGCGAAAGCAGGAAAAAGAAGAAAAACCGGTAGTTGCGTCTTCCGATACAATTATTAACCCAAGGACAGTGATGATCAAATGTCTAAAACATGGTAGATTACCTGACGAACCCTACATCTATACAGTGTTTGCAGATAGAGCAATGAGAGCAACGAGGTAGCCGATATATCTCACACGTAACACACCACTTGAGGCGAGTAGGAACACCATTTATCTGTACAGTTTTATACATAATCGGTCGTGGTGGGGAAGTTTTGTCATTGCTCATAACTTTTTCACCAGGCACGCCTATGTAAAAAAGTAGACAAATCAGAAGGCAAACCTCTAGGCAAGTACCCAGGGTCCATAAAAGTGGCACGAGCAAAATTCAAAATCACATAAAAGAGCAAAATAAGCTGAAGAATTATAATGATGTATCCATGGGTTCGGCTGAACTCCCAGCAGCTAAAGATACTTCAAAGTGCACATGATAAACATACACAAAAATAAGGTATAAGATGGATATGGCGAGAAGGAGAAACCAAGAAACTAGGGCAGGCCCTATGTTCCTTGAAAAAAATGTACGACACCCCATTATGCTTCTCGAACACAAGCAGACGCTACTTCATTTTCATCGGACTTTCATTTACAGCGCCTGATTCATATCAGGCAGACAAATAATGTGTGAAAGAAAAAGACTGTTTGTTGTTCGACTGTAAAAACACCTGATTTTTATATCATTAAAAAATTTTTTTATGCAGGTCACATAATTTTTATATTTTACAATACTTTCGCCATTTAATATAGGAAAAATCTGGTTATTTTAGGCGTGTAATTTTCGGGAGTAATTTCGAATGTTAGTTCTTCTGTATTCATAAATAATGACAGCAGTAACAAAGCAAAAGTTGCAAGAAGATAGAGTACTGAGACAAAATACGCACTGTCGACGAATGTAAGAGCTGGAAAGCCATTGGTTTGGTCCAGCGTCCATACCGCTTCATGGATGTGTAAATTTGAAATCTTGGCTGCCAACAAAGTCAAAATAAGGAATTTTAAGAAGATCGAATCATTACGGGTTGATATCCTGTTGCCTCTGTCTGTGCTTTTTGCCAGTAAACTGTGTCAGAATGCAGATTAGTAATGGCATTTCCAAGAGTCCACCACCTAGACCTCAGGGCTCGAATCCTGAATCTCCAGCTTTACTGTAGCCTATGACCATGTTCACGACCTACATGACTACCTGCCTAAATAATTAATTACACGCCCAATGGTGCCCTTTCGTTTATTAGTCTTTTGGAACAGTTTGTCTTTCTGTGCATAACGTAGCATAGATTTGGCCATTATTTGCTCTAAGCATAAGCTCTACTTTGCCTTCTCTTTCTTTTCAAAGACCTTATATGATCCTAGTTTTATCCGTCTTTTGGATCAAAATAGTCATTCAAGCCATCTTTGGCATAGCAGCTCAAACCGAAAAATACGTCTTAAAAAATAAGCTTCTGCCTTATGTGAGCATTATTGCCTTCCCTCACAAGCGTAATTCCATCACGTTCACTTATAATTATCTTTAGGTGACGATTACAAAAACAAAACAAGGGTTTGTGCCGGGCATAATGTTGTGAAATCATGGTTATTGAAAACTGCGGAATTTCTTTAAATTTGGTAGCGCTTTTGTTTAGGAGGCACCTTGTCGACTTGAGCTGTCTTGTTTATGTGTAGTTGCGTGGGTCTTTTTCTGACATTCAGATTAACTTTATGATGCAAATTTTGTGAAATATGCGTAATACGGGACTAGTAGTTTAACATATAAATGTAGGCCGTAATGGTGTGCTCGGTGGTGACGCTGTTATTGAACTGAACGTACACTACTCTCTCAGTTTGACTCTGCTTCGAAGATTTCGGTCACTAAGCTGAATCAGGAGGGACTTTAGACTGTATCCAAGTCAAACGAGTTGGAATACAAAGCCTCTGCAATAGAAGGACTGTATCTACATGCCGTATTGTTAGATGTGTTGGTTGCTCTGTCAAAAATGTATCCGTGCTCCCGATATTCACAGTGCTGAAAGCAAACGATGATTTAGCTAGTAGACTATTACAACCACAGGAGCGACAAAATGATGAGAAAACATGGACTGGGTGAATGCGGTTGATCAGATCAACAAGGGCAGAAGACAATTCTTGCCTGATGACACTTGCTTGACGTACTTCTACTCTTACAACTAATCCTACTCAAACCTTGGGAATTCAGTTTAGCAATTTGTCCAATTTATTCAGTTAAAATCCCAATATCAAACTTCTCCTGTAAAGGGAAAACTGATTCTCTGCAGTTTGAGGAAGAGCCTTTTCGTTATTCCATTTTGTCTGTCTGAGTCCTACGTTTCCACTTGACTTAACGACTAACCGCTATAACGGCAACAGTCTCCGATGTCTTAGACAAATAAAATATGTAACTAATTGGAGTTTTCCTTTTTTTACCTCTGGTTTGTTACAAGTGACGATATTAAAAATATGTTTTCTTTCGTAGCTTCTCCAATCTCTTTCTGATACTAAGAGTGGAGTCATTTTCCGACTTAGTGCTAAGCGGTTGCGCCATGATTGCTTTGCCCCCTTTCACTCAGAGCTTGGTGTCTCTTGTACCCTATAATCACGACAGGTGAAAGACTGGCCTGACAACGGTTCGCCTATCCAGTGGGTTTGTGTGCTTGTATTAGTGTGAAGGACGTAGAAACTGAGTAGGTCAACAGAGAGGCAGTATTTTACTTTTGTAATACAGAAACACAAAAGTTTCTTTACAAGGGCTGTGGAATGTATCAATTCATTGGCCTAATCAATTCGGCGACACCCGATGTGACTCCTCTTGTCGTTCCCTATACCGGATCATCTGCATTTAGGCACGTGGTCTCTCCCTAATGGAGGTTTTATATTCAACTTGGCGAGTCGCTTAACGCTCAAAATGGGCTCAACGCAGGCAGAAGGACACATATTACCTGCCAAGGGAATTGATGATGGGAATATCGCAAATCCATAGAGGGCTAATTACCTTAATGTTTTGTACCAGTTCGTTTCGATGATTAATGCCTATTAACTGGTTCTTCCATTCAAATTTTCTAGTTCACCCCACCCTCTGCGCGCTTGGAGTTCCTGTAATACGTTAATTGATTGTTTAACACCCATTTTTTGTAACGGCACGCTTGGGGGTTCCGCTAATGAACCTTTGCCCAGGGGGCCTGACCTGCGGGCTATGTTAGTAGCTTCCAGCCCTTCTCCACGTTGACAATACATATTTTGCCCGTCTTCCGGGATGTCGCGGGGCGCTACACTTCAACTTTACTGGGACACTTGAAGTAGCTCCAGTTAATCCCGTTACTCAAGGCCTCTTCCGGCATTATTTTATCCTTCTTTTTACAATTTTCTATCAACTATTTCTCCACTATTAGGTTGCGTTTTATGTTACGAATAAAAAAGTTGGAGCTTGATTTTACCACAATTAAATTCCAAGTCTACTGTGTCTGCCGACGATAATGTTTTTGGTCGCTTTGGAACCCAAAGTGCTAGATCGCAACAGGAGGTAAAGCATCATGTAAAAGTCTGTTCCAAGCTGTGATCTAGCTAATGTACTTCCCTTCTGTGTATATTTATTGCAAGGCCATTAAATAAACCGACCGTTAAATGGACACACCCGCGAATCCACCGTCCATCTGGTGGTGGCGGTGGTAGCCTAAGGTCACGGAAACATTCCTCCAATGCTTATTAAGCAAAACAAGTGCAATTGACCTTCAACTTGCTTGTTGGAATCATTTAGACCTATCCAACTCGATATATATACCCGCCTCAAGGTTTATTTAACGCATTACTGCCCACTTTCAATTCGGGATAAGGGGAAAAATTACTCTTACCATAAATTAAAGCTATTGCAGTGACAACCAATGCAGCAGGTTGTGTGACAGACGGCGTGAATCACCACCTCCTCCAGTGCCAACACTGTGATGCCCCATTCTAGTCACTCGAGGGGTGGGAGCTGCGTGACACGATCCGTGTGACGACGGCCGAGTTCGACATGTGAACAGGTTTGCCACATTTTGGACAGATAGAAAAGAGAATCATAACTTTTTAAGAGATTGTCAATTTTATTTTATTTGACGAAATTTGATGTCTAAAATCACTTATTAGTAAAGCTGGGATCGTAAGAGAGGAGGGTGTTTTTAAATCTCATTGGATGACGCAAAAAAGACAAAGAGGTGCTACTGACAAATACTTTAAGTTCCGCTTAGACTCGGCCTGTCTCGTGGAAGTTCAAATTGCTGCAACTTCTCCAGGACTGTTTGAATGAAACTCTAGAAAACAAAAAAATAACACAAATTGTAGCCTTCTTTTGTAATGCTGATAGTGAGCCTCTGGGCCTTGCCAGTAGCCCCCTCCCACCCCTTCTTTAGGCCGACAATACACACATTCTGCCCGAGTATTACGTCTCCTTTCGTCTTCAGCAAAGTTTTATTTCTTTGGCACCGTTTTAAGCTTTTTTTAGAGTCTTGGTAAGAGTTCGATACAAGTTGACTATTTTGACAATACACAATTTTAAAAATGTCAGATTTATCATTTTAGCTTTGCAAAAGATACTCGTATTCTGTATTTTCCGACGGCCGAAGCTTTTCTATTAGTCGTGCCGCTGTACTTTCCTATTCATCGAGCTCGCAGCGCTACGTCGGCGAAAGTGCCCACTCCCCGGTCGCACAGAAAGCGCATCGCAGACAATGGGCTGCAGGTCGCCCCTATTTTTGTCGTGCTGTGAGGAGTTAGCGCCGAGGCTGCTTCATTCCACTCGGGTTACTTAACCATTATTAAGGAAGCAGGTAAACAAGCAGAACTATTTAATAACCAATGCATTTGCTGTTGACTTCCAACGGTCGTACTTGTTAGGTCAACGCCTAGTCGACTAATAAGAAGGCGAAATTTTTCTGCACAGCTAAACATTGAATTCATTGAACGCTCAACCGTCTATTTATAGAATAGGAATATTTCGTAGGGGAGTTGAGTAAAATTTTGTTAGTGCCTACGGGGTGGTCCTGCTATAAGCAGGTGGGGGAATCTGTAGACTCAATTTGGACACCGACTCCAGACATGGAACAGTTAATGCTGAGCTTTTAGCGCTACAATTTCGAAACTGCGATATGAACCAGTCACAAACGTGATTGTGCCACAGCGAAATGTAATGGACATCAAAGCACAGCCAAAAAGCGGCTTCTGAAATAAAATGGAACGACAAACCTGGTGGGTTAAAATTATCCTTCCAGTAGCCAATGCGATTGCTCTTGGGGGTTCGAAATTCAATCAAATGGCTCAAAAACAAAAAAAAATAAATGCCACTGGAGGCCGGAAAAGCGCATACCCTGAACTTGTAAAAGTACACACAGAAAAGCGAATGAATTCGTGCGTACGGCAGTGGTGGGCAATCATGAGGCCTGGGGGGTGGTATGGGGGGAGGGGAGGACGCGGATACGATCAGCGCCGCTGGAAGGTCGTACAACATATCTGTCCGATTATTTCAGGATTGGTGCAGTGGAAAAAAAGGTGGAGTAGTCGTACGTCACGCTCAGTTATGCCTAGTGTACTCCAGGTAGCCAGCCGAACCATCCAATAGGTCGGTAATAAAACTTAAGCAATTTTTATGACATAGGTTAGTGGAGGAGAATAAGCGACATTCTGCTCGTCAACCATCTACTCTAATAACCTTGGAATTGTTTCAAATAGACGTAAAATGCGTCGTTTTTGTCTTGTCAAAAGCAATCAAAAAATCATGCTTTAAAGTCTAGAGAATGGCCCTACTAAGGAAAATTGGAGACACTCAGCCGTTGAAGAGATAAATTTAGTGAAGTGAAAAGAAGCGGACATTAATGCCCTATTATAACAAATAAGGTGTTCATGTTTCATTCCTCCTTCAGAGCTGTGAGTAAATGGTGTCAGAGAAATGAAGACAACTAACTTTGGTGATTAAAAACAGTAGTAAAAGTTGCATGCGAGAAGGATACTTCTGACAAAAACATCACCTCAGGAAATCAGAAGAGTGGTTGGACTTATGCAAAGCTAATTAGGAGGAAAATATACTTTATGCAACTTGGAGTTGTACGAATAATATCTTTATTGTTTGTTTAACTTGTACCTTAGTACCTCGTCTTCAAGAAAGTTCCGGGCACTGCGTTGGTGGCAGCAGAAAGAAAACTCGATCCCTAAGGACAATCACCCTAATTTCCATTACCAAACACCGGCTCCGAATGGAAAAATCTGTGAAAACCCGCAATGGAAGGGTTGAAAGTGGTTTGAAGGCCATACCCCCCCCCCGGGCGGAAGTACAAAGGCGGAGCAACAAGTGCCCTTGAAACCAAAACGAGAAGTTAAACAAATAAAGTATTTCAATTACTCAAAGGTCAATTTGCGGTTTACCGAACAAAAAAGTGGCACGCCTCGCCCAAAATTATCCTTCTATGGTTACTACTAGTTCCCACTTCTTTGGAAAAAACCCACCAAGTTCATCCAATTTTACCCATAAATGCCATGAAAATATGTTTCAGCTCTTTTAAAAAACTCACAACTTGTTTCTGACTCTAAGCCCTTTGTGTTGGAGCTCAGAACTATATCCTCCTTTCATGATTTCTGAGCGACTATCCACAATCCAAGTGGGTAGTCTCAAGGCCATTTGTTGAAAGAAAAATTTAAAGACGAACGGCGACTGACATGCGAAAAGACGGACGATGAGAGCAAAACTGCCCAACGGAGGTCCTAAGGCTGCAAAAGCAAGAGTTGAATTCCATTGATAGGCCCATGCTACTCTCTCCATGAAGGCTACAAGTCGAAGCTTTGGAGTCACAGATATTCGTCAAGTTTAGCTAGCATTATTCTACAATCGCTTCACAAACCATAGGCTCCGAATTGAGAATGGAGCAAGTATGTTAATGAGACTGGCATATCGATATGTGAACCAAACATATTTTGTCACTCTTTGTTGTTTCTGGTCTGCGTTTTGATACTTTTCACGGTTAATTCTGAGGAAGGTGGAGCTTTGGAATACACTGCCCTTGGACGGAGAAATCCGCGAGGATTTATCGCAGACTTCACTTAAATCAAGCATGACATTTGTATGTCGAGAAGGCGGTGCTGAAAGGTAGGCTTAAATGTGGCTGTCCGCTTGTTTTACCGGTGACATTCAGCTTACCGTGCTTAGGCCCTGACCATGATCTTACTGGCGTTGCTACACCTTCCTTTTACTTGTTTCTCGGCCAAACCTTTTTTCCCACCGTCACAGCAATATAACTTCCATAGTGGAATGAACTCTGCAGTAGGGGTAGCTGTGCATTGCTTTGTAATGAATTCAAGACGACAACGCCTAATGATGAAAGCCGTTTGGTTGCGATTGACCAAGTTCAACAGGACTAGAAGTGGAGGAGTTGACATTTGGGAGGTGCTTTTCTCGCATTTGGTGTGCAGTGTGTGCTCGGCATAGACGTCCTTATTACCTCTCTTGCAGGAACTTTAATGGACGATTCCCAGTGAAATCCTCGAGATGTCTCTTACTACTTTCTGCAAAATGGCACTGATGTGGTCTCGAGAGTGGCTGCAGTGTATCAGAAGCACGTAGAAGGATGTCTAAAAACACCACACCGTCATTTTTAGGATGCTTACTTTACTCCATTGCTACTTTCCAATGGATGAGTTATATTTCACTTCCTTTAACCCTTCTATGCCGTCCTGCTGAGGTTATCTATAGATCCCTACATCCGCGCCACAGTAAGTTGAAGATCGTGGTTAGTAATGAATTCCTTGCGCCAAATGAAGTCGCACAATGAAGGTCACTTTTGATAATTACGATGAGTTAATATTGCAATAAGTTGATTGTTCGCTTAATTCTGGATTTTGGTAAGGGTAACACTTAGGGCCTGTGCCATTGTGCCTCCGCCTAGTGAGCTGGCCTCCAGGCCGTGCTAGTATCCTACCAGCCACCCTTCACGTCGAAAATATATACTCCGTACTAGTATTTTGTCCTCTTTCGTCTTCAGGGAGGTCTTAGGGCGCTACGTTGTTGCCAGTAGTAAAAAAACCGCTTCCGGGGGACGTCAATCTTAATTTTAGCTGCTGGGTGATAAACCTCAGTGGGGCGGAAGAAGAGCACATGCTGCTGGTGGGAGAATCGGTAACGACCCCTACCGAAAGGGCTGAAATTGACGTCCACCTTCGGCAACTACCTCAGTGCTGCGGTCTGGTAAAATGCTATCAACAACTGAAGCGACACAAGCCGTGGTTACGAAAAGTCTGGAAGTTATTTACGGAACTATCTACCATTCCTGCATAAAAAATGTCAATAAAGTGAATACGCGATACCTCCTCCACCTCTCTGCTAGCTAGACAAAGCCCAGATAGATGCGGCTGGGTAGTACTAAGGTGGGGACAGAGTCGCAAGAAGGAAGAGACGCGAAATATTACCTCCATGAAACCATCTTAAACCACTCCAGGCCATTGTTCCTACGATTAGCAACGGAAATGCGTGGTGGTCAGCACATTATCCCTTCGCCCCCATTACAGTTCCCAAACAGAAGGAAACTCCAAATCCCGTGACATTGCCGAGAGGGATCAGTGGGGTTGCAGTCGGATATCTTTCCAGTTGCACACAAATGCGATGACTGGCGAAGTTATTTAATGGGTATGACTTACAGCCTCGACTAAGCTGTGACGGACGCTGGGAGAGATCGACCAAGGGAAGCGCCGGGGGCGCCGCCCAAAGTGGGAGTGAGGCTAGGTAATACCATAGCTGTTTGTTTAACTCTTCATTTTGGTTTCACTAGCACTGAAGGATCTTTTTGGGCGCTACGGTCTCCGCACCATGCTGGTAGCCTCAAGGCCTTCTCGACGTCGGCAATGCATATTCTTTCGAGGGTTTAATAAACGTCTCGACGCGCTATACTACCTTCTAAAGACACCGTAAAACTATATCCAACATTTGAAGCGTGGATGTTATCACAGCAGGAAACAAATATTTAAGATGTTATTCGTTATAGTCAGGCTTGAGATCCTTTGGTACATCCTGTAAGCAAATAGAAATGGAAGGCTAACCTTCCCCACACGCAATCCCCTACTACACCATTAATAATGTGACAGGGAAATCGGAATGTAAAAAATCGTGTTGCACAGCACTTTGTTTCCTTCTATAGGCATTGTAAAAATTCACAGCATGAGGGCAAAATAAAGGAAGCATTAAAACACTTTTCAGAGATGCAAAACTGAAAGCTAACCAAATAGGCTATCAGCTATGAAGATGGAATCGGGAACGAAGTATTCCCATCGTTTTTCCCTACCAGTGGGGGATGTCAGACGGGAAAATGTACAAACCAACTTTGGCAGCAACGCGTTACTCGTTTGGGGGCAGGTAACAAAGCTGTTTCAGGCGTTAGACACATTCCTTTACCTAAGCACCACTCGAACTATTCGTATTTGAAATCTATGATACCGCTATTTATAAATGCATCCTTTTTCCTTTAAGTCAAAAGTTTTGGCTTTGTAGCCCCTTAGTGTAGAGTTGGGGCTCAAGCGACGTGACTTTCGGGTGACTTCGTGTAGGGGAGTACAAACACAGGTGGTTCGAATCAGTTTGACATCCAACCACCACTCATGGGATTCCAAGGAGCAGTGACAAGCCTCAAAGCTACTTTATACTGTAAGCGACAAATTTTGCTTCTTCAAAAACCTGCTTTAACGGTAGCCTTACCCTTAATGTGTCCACTCAGCTTGTTTAACTAGTTTGAAAGCACTTTTGCCTGCGATTTGCGTCAAAGCAAGTCCTAGCAACACCTTTTCCACAAAGACTGCGTCTGTCTTTCGCGTTGTGTACCCTCGCAACCAGTGATAAACATCGCATGTCTTGCCTGAAAGCCAAATCACTGCAGGCGGTTTTTTAATGCGTCTTGTCCGCCTTCACATCAAGTAACCGGCACCCTTATCTTGCAAAAGTAGCTTTCGGGAAAGGATGTGTACGGGGTTCACCTTCGAACAATGGAGTAAGCGCCACGCCAAGCGTTGTGAATGGGTGTAAACGGTTTCAATACTTTCAATTCCTCTTCAACCTCTTCCACTACTAACTAGTTTGACAGCAGACAAATGCGGCTACCACCACAATGGCTCGACAGTCAAACTTTCAGTTGCTCTCGGCATGCAAATTTGATGGGTGTGGAGGCTTTCGCCCTTCTTAACTAATAGCCACTACACAATTCCCCTCATGATGTGATACAGTTTCGCAGCAAAGACTAGCCTATTTTCTAAAAAATGTCACCAGCTGAGAAGAAACGAAAGTTAGAAACAATTTCATGGACATGACAGCAAAAGCCTGTTGGAATAATAAAGCCCACTCATTTCACTATAAGGGAAATGGGAAGGAAATAAATAGTGCGCCCTTCCGTGGCAATTAAAACAAAGGCACATCCTTTGCTCACATTTACACTAGGTGTTTTGAGATGAATGAAATCATGCCGGAATACACTTCTATTTCAAGTGGTTTTAGATGTAAGAACGTAAAACAAGTGATGCTTTCAAATCGAATCGACTAGATGCCTTGGAAAGCAGTCCTTGAACTTGGCCTAAGAACTGTTCAGTTCGCATCGACAATTCGTCGAGGAGGTGTTAATCCTGTGAAGTTAGACAGATTACAATCCCCTTTCATCAATTTTGTATGTATGCATAAAAATCCCCAAAAATAACCCTACCCCCCTCCGCACCCTATCTCGGCTTTATGGAGGCTGGAAAAAATACACTAGTAGACGGATATTTTAGAATTTGCCATCTCTTTCTCTCTCCCTCAACTGTGAGAAAATTGGATGGAACACAGAAAAACTAAAGTAACAATTTTTCTCTAACCGTTCGGTAAATTTCAGCTTGCTGGAAAAAGCTTCGACCGCCTAATTTTTACCCTCTTTCTTCTTTCGATGAGAAAGCTGGATAAATAATGTATAAACTAAACACAAATTAGCAACGAATCGCCGGGATCTCTTACATTTTTGAAGTTATAAATTAGCTTACAGGATGAGAAATAAGGTAGGTCGGTTGACATGCATTTTCCTCAGCCCTTCAGAAGTAAAGCATTGTTTTGTTTTTTTTACAGTGGAAAACATGTCTTCTGCTCCAGATGGGTGGATGGGTGGGCGACTGGATGGAGGAATAGTTTGCCGTCACAACTAGCTTCCAATCTATCCTCCAAAACACTGCCATGTTTACTATGCAGAAAGGAGGGAGAAAATCTGACCCGTAAATGAAATGCTGTCAAGGAGATTCCTGTCTCTGCGCCGTAGTAAATTGGACTCGTAAAAATTCAAAGCGGAAAAGTGACTATCAGGTTTCAAAAGTCGCGCGCAACTGATTAACCGGGCTGAAAATGTTCAACTTATCTTGTATATGAGTTGAATCTTTTACCTAAACCTTAATCGAGGCAATTTATTTACAAGGTTTGAATACCCACGACTCTTTGGCCAATCAGAAACCAGGAAATACTATTTGGAGACTGCCGTGTAGAGTCCCGAGACTTCTCTAAAGACAGAATATGCATTGTGGACGAGTAGAATGGCCTGGGGACTACTGGCATGGCCGAGAGGACAAGAAGCCCCACAGGAGTACAATGGCTGTGCCCTAAGTGGTCCGTTATCATAGAGGAGAGTTAAGCAAACAGGGTAATGCAGCAATGTTGAATAAAAATAAGAATCAGATTGCTGGTGTTTAAGCACAGTGAAATCTACCTGCATCATCTAGTCATCTTGGTTACCAGGGCTAGTATCAAGCATCCTCCCGATGCCTAACAGTAGACGCGTCCGCATATCTTGCAAGGCGCCACAATTGGTCAAAAGACAATTATTCGGGTTTCGTCTCCCTCTTGCTTAGCGTAAACAGATGAAAAGGAGGAGTAGATTACGCAAATAGGTATTAAAAAAGGAAACGGCTAGAGCTGAGGAGTTCGGCAAATCATAGTCGCGGTCGAGACCCCAGCAACTGCTCCGGGTGTCCATACACCGACTTTTCAAACAGTTTACAACTTTGCCTTGCTATCCGTGTTTAGGCAAATAAACTTATGCTTGAAACGCTAAAAGTGGCTTAAAT